CATATAATGAATTTGGTAGAAGTGTACGCACTTCTAATAAGAAGAACTTGAGCTCTGAAAATACACCATGGGGAATGATTTCAAATCACCGTGTGACTTCAACAGTAGACGGGGCGATTGATTTTGCGTCTTTCATGGAAAATGTGAAAATTGAAAAAAATTGGCAGATTATCGCATTGGATAATATTATACCGACCTGTAAATTCTTGTTAAGGGAGCACAGTCAATTGTTTGCTAACATTCGACGATTGATCATACAAAACGCCCATCATGAAATAATCCGCAACTTGCAACCCCACCTAAATATGGAGCAATATATGAATGACATATGGGACGAATATGTTCAGCCATTCTGAGCTAATCCGTATGAAAAAAGGCTTATTGAAGCAATACAACTTATTCCAAAAATATTAATCTTTATTGTCTTAATTCGTAACAAAATAAATGCTCGCTAAATAACAAGTTTTGCTTTTTATTTTCTTTTTTTTCCAGGACAATTTATTTTCAAGAATATGTATAAAATGGTCGCAGCTTATTTCAACCATTATTTTATCACATGAATTTACCCACAAGAAATTATTTAAGAATATTTTATTAAAGAAATTCGATATTTCTTCTTCCAACATGAAAGTTATTAAAAAAAAAAACATTCAAATTATAAAAACTTATGAAGCATGTTTTGGTAGCTTAAATAGTTCCTAATGTCACTTTAAAGATTTTTATATCCTTTGGTCTATAATTTTGGTCAAAAGTGTGCAACGCTGTGAAGGAGACATTTCCGACCCTATAAAGAAAATATATTCTTGATCCGGATCACCTCTTCAGTTGGAGGTGCATGTCGGTCTGTCTGTTTCTACTTCTTTCTAACTTGTCTCTCAGTTTTAGAGCTATCGACCTGAAATTTTGCACACACCCTTCATTCCTTTTCACGCAATATGTATATACATCGGAGCATCGGCCGACTATATGACTATATGACTATATGCTGCCATATAACTAATTGATCGGAAGTGCTATAACTTTGGTGTTTTTAGACTTAGAAAGGATTTAGTATGAATGTACACATTCCCATAAATTTTTCATGGCCCAAGCCAGACATAAACATTAGAGCCGACTCGCAGTCACCAGTCCGAAATTGATCGATCTTCCGATCTTATCACTCTTCACCAATGACTCAATTATTCCATCAGCCAATTATCCCTTTCTCTTAGAATCTCTTATGGCAATTTTTTATTCTCTCCAAGTACCCTTTTGGGTTATTTCTCTTAAGGGGTTATATACAGTTGTGATATATGAAAAAACCGATTTTTTTTTATTGCATGTTCTTTAAGTATGTTCTATTGGAAATACTCTCATAAAAATTCATAACGATCGGAGCATTAGAACCGAAGCTGTAGCTATTTATAGCGCACTATCTGCATATAAAACTTGAACAAACTTGAAACTTTGAACGCGATTATCTCAGAATCTTTTTTTTGGGAAATTACCTTTGCGGTGGACACGATTACTAAAAAACTACTAATCCGATCAACACCAAAATTTGACCACTTATTTATTATGATATTAGCTAGTCCGTGAACGAGGGATTTTTAATTTTTTTGAAAACTCGTTTTTTAAAGCACAAAAAACGAAAATCTTATACGTTGAAAAAGTATAAGATATAAGTTTTTTTTGTTAAAAACGTCGCCATTTTTTTTAATCAGAATTTTTAAAAATCCCTCGTTCACGGACTAGACAATACAATATACTAACTAAACTTTTTTGAATTTTGGATTTCGGATGAACCGTTTTCGAGAAATCATGTCCACCGCAAGACACCATCGAAGAAAGACGATCCGGGAATTCGGCTATAACATTTTTGTTATGTAATATTTTTTTATGAAAAAATTTAATTAAGTACCCAGAAACATGTACTAAACAACGTCGTTAAAACATTTTTCATAAATATTTTCTATGGTGTCAAAAAAAAATCGATAAAAATCCATATTTTTGCGCGGTACAACTGTATATAACCCCTTAAGACGAGGTTTGTTGGCTATCTGGTTATTAAAAATTGGCAGTCGTATTCCGGAAGCAAGCCTGTCATCTTCAATCGGTCTAGCCTTAAGCGATTAAACGAAGTTTATGAAACAAATAAGAAATAATAATAAAGTTTTTTAAAAATCAAAAATAAAAAATTATTTTTTTAAAAAAAGTGAACATCGGGATTAATTTAATTTGAATACTTTTTTTTGCAAAATAATACGACTAACCAAATTGGCATATAACTGAACGATCGGAAATGGGTTTATATACCCATGCAGTTAAAACCGGATATATATCGCAAACATCGGATATAGTTGGCCGATCCTTATGAAATTTGGTAGATTGGATGAACTGACCAAAAATAGAATCTGTACCAAGTTCCAGCTTTCTATCTTCAAAAACACAAAAGTTGGGTCAATTCCGATCGTTCAGTTATATGGCAGCAATAGGATATAGTCGGCCGATCCGGGCCGTTCCGACTTATATACTGCGTGCAAAGAAAAGAAGGGTGTGTGCAAAGTTTAAAGACGATAGCTTCAAAACTGAGAGACTAGTTCGCGTAGAAACGGACAGACAGACGGACATGCTCATATCAACTCATGAGGTGATCCTGATCAAGAATATATATACTTAATAGGGTCGGAGATGTCTCCTTCACTGCGTTGCACACTTTTGGACAAAATTATAATACCCTCTGCAAGGGTATAAAAAATGTAAATATGAGCCAAACCAGGATTGAGGATTCGTACTTAAAATATCTTTTAACAAAGGCTATTCAAATAAATCTTCTTCTAATTCTTAAATATTACTTCATATTATGAAGTTTATAATAATCAATCGTTTAAAAATTGTTTGAAATTGTTTTTTGGCTGTGATTTGTTTTGAAAATTTGCACTACTATTATTTTAACCGATTGATTTTTTGTTAATTTAAGCATTTTTATTTTTTTCTGAAAACAGTTTTTGGTATCCCAAAATTTTAGTTATTTCTTTAGGTTAGGTACTATCTTTAGATTTAGTATCTTAACAAGTTTTTTTTCGTGTTTTCTACCGTTCAAGACACAGCGACTACTCAATCTCCTGGTATATGTTCGGATACTACGACGCAGATAGCACTCTCAATTTACGATTTGGAAGATAAAATGTCAAAATCAACTCTTTATTTGAAAGACATTGAAATCAAAAATCAAACTGTTGGTCAATTTCTTGATTACTTGGAAAATAAACAAAATATATTCTTGAGCTCACATATTGCATCCGTTAGAGTTTGGGCAATACCTGAACAAAAAGAGTCTTACACGATCATACCTCTAACGTCGCAATTGTGTGAAGCAATCGATGTATTCGATAATAAAGAAAATATAAAGCAATACACATTATATGTTGGAGCCCAACTGGCTCCACGACAAGCATTAATAAGAAGATTTTCGAAGGGTCTTGTCCTCGATCATCATACGGGTCTCTTCAAGGTCTGCACGTCGTCACCAGTTATCTTCGACAAAACCTATCAACCAGTTGAAGTACCTTTACCAATAAGCGTTGCTTTCGAAAAGCGTGTTATCGAAACGGTTCATACAACAGATTTAACAGAATCTAATCAAAATGGATTTTCCATTGAAATATCAGCATTCATCATATCAGTTGAGACGGATTATTCAAAAGAAAAAACAAAAACTTCGAAAAGTTCAAATAAAACTAGGAATGCAGTCGTCTCACTCTTAATCAAGAAAATGCTACTTTCAGTGGACGAAAGTAGAATAGATCCGAACCCATTATTCATCAAGGAACTTTCTTCCATCGTGGATAACAATAACATGCCAGCCTTTGATCGTACGAAAAGGGTCGTCGAGCTATTAAACGAATATGGATGGTACGTACCAAATAAATTTACTCTGGGGGGACGACTGGACGTCGTCAAAAGCTTGACTGAAACGAGTTCCTCGAGTGAGACGAATGAACTGGACAATTTAAGCATCAAGTTGGGTGCGGCATATAGCGTTTTTAGTGGAAGTGTGGGGACTTCTTCTAAAAAAGCCTCGAGCGCTAATAACGCGATATCGGGGTTTTCTTCTAATGAACGTGTCACGTCAACCGTAGACGGAGCGATTAATATGGAGTCTTTCCTGGAAAATGTGAAAATTGAAACAAATTGGCGGATCATCGTATTGGATAAAATTATACCGACCTGCAAATTCTTGTTAAGGGAGCACAGCCAATTGTTTGCTAACATTCGACGATTGATCATACAAAACGCCCATCATGAATTAATCCGCAACTTGCAACCCCACCTAAATATGAAGCAATATATGAATGACATATGGGACGAATATGTTTACCCTTTCTGAGCGAATCCGATAAGAAAAAAAAAACCAAATCAAAGCAACTTTCTTAATTCTAAAAAAATAAATGCTCGTTATAGAACAAGTTTTGTTTTTTTTTTTTTCTTTTTTTTTCATAAAAAGCTTATTTAAGCCCCTATTTTTTATGCCCTTGCAGAGGGTATTATAATTTTGGTTAAAAGAGTGCAACGCAGTGAAGGAGACCTGTCCGACCCTTTAAGGTATATGGGCAATTCCATAGACACGCACGCGATAATCGTACGCGTTTAAAGTGCAATAAAAAAAAGTATTACGTTTTTTCACCCAATGTTTTCAGTGTTTCAGAGCCTTAATACTGAACTATTTTTGGTAAAAAATTTGAGCAAACATTGTGTGGAACGCACGCGACAAAAAACGGAAATGGTTTTTTTTTAAGTCCACTCAAGCTCAGAATTCAGCGAATTGGCTTGATATTTTTTAATGCGGTCTTTTACAAAATTAAAGGGACATATGTACCTTTCTTTCGATATATGAGTCATTAAAAAATATTAGGTAGTTTATTTAGTTTATTTTTTATATAAATTGGCAAGCAATTGGCTCCAATGCTAGCCTCCTGAGAATCCGGTGACACCCTAGAGGGCACGGCATTTGACATCACCAGGCCGGCGAAGCCACGAACCGCCGCCCGGAAAGCATACCAACTAGCCATTCCAAAGTGATGCGACTTCTTGGCTACCACGAATCCTATGCCCGCTTTCTGGGCTTTCTGAACAGCCAGATCCATGCAGAAATCCCCCACAATGACGCCCAAAGCGGAGTTGCCGTCCACGTGGGCTGTGGCGGCTGTTTCGTTAATGACGCTTGGCTCGGCGTCCGCCCTGGCATGGCCCATTTGCAGGTCACTCAGATAGCCATCCAAGCGATTCAGGCCGTTTCCGAAGTTTCCGCGATAATCGGCCACCACCAAGAACTCGCTAATGGAACGCAACTTACTTGTAGGCACATTCATCCGAAGCAAACAATCCTGTATGAATCGGCGCGCCTCATCCACCAGGACCAGAGATGTTTCACCTCGCTGCACCGGGAAAGTGATGGGTTTCTGGAAACCCCGATGCGCAGGTAAGGCCCTGTGGTAGGTGCGATGGCTTCGACTTGTCCTGGCGAGGCATTGAATTGGTCGGTTGAGCCACAACATGGTTAGCATTCCAGGATGTAAGTGAAAAGAAATATCCAGCTAGGGTGGCTAAGTGTTTATATATATTTACGGGTTACTGGGGTCATATTTGAAAAGCAAGCAAGGTAAAGATGCTCCTGAAACATGCTCAGATTCTAGCTTTAAGTTCTTTTTGAATCTCGGTCTGATCTCTAATCTAATACTACATGTTCCAGAGAGCCTTTTCCAATATTTCTTAGGTTTGATTGGTAAGTAATATTTAGAGTACTTTAGTACATTTTTAACAAGACTTTCAAACATCAATCTACTTGGACTTTTTAAGCACTTTTATCCTATGAATATTATATAGGGGTGCCTGTGTATCAATTAACACGCTACAATTTCAATTTCGTCTGTTTTGGATGATTTAAAAAACACAAAAAATCATTCTAGTGTTTTCCTAAAAATCCGTCAAAAAAAAACTTTATTTTTATGCGAAAAAATCAATAAATTCATTAATTCATTCTTGAAAAAAAAATTTTTTTGAAGTGTCCAAAAAACTTTACAGTTTTGAGGGTGATTTTGATTGACAGTGATGCCACGTTTTGTCATCCGAATTCGGAGTAAATTTGGAAAATTAAATGTATTGAATGAAGCTCATATTTTTTTCCCCCATTTATTATAAATTAAATTTGTCATTGTAATGCATTTTAATTAATTTTGTTTCCCCAATATATTACAAATCAATAGGAAGCCAAAAAGAAGTGTTTCATTATGCAAGCAGGCACCTCATTTAACTTGCACCCCAATGGTTTTTGTCTTGGCTAAACCACTCGGAATTCTGTGCCTGGGTAATCATTTTCAGTGTTTTTGAGCATTTCTGTGGCACCCCTGGTAGATTTTGGATTTTTTATCTGAATTTTGTGTAATGCAGACATTTCTTTAATATGGATTACAATATTTTTAATGCAAAAGTGGATACTGAGTATATTGTTGGGATATAGTGGATATACGGATGTTGAATCCCAAATATTCGGGCACTTAATTCAAGGCGGTGGAAGTCAAAACGGCGACGCCACGCTCATAGAAACTGTGGGAATCCTGTCCGGCAGCCACAGCCAAGTCCACGGTGAAGAGAAGCTCTGTTCGGGTGGAGTTCAAGTAGACGGGCAACGTGAGCTTGCTGATACGAGTCTCCGAGGAGATCCTGGTAGATAACTTGGATTAATAAAAACTCCAATGAATCATAGGAATGTACTTACTTGACCCACTTGAGGATGGTAAGGGACAGGTCCATCATAATGGTGGAGGCGAGCAGTAACTCGTTGTTCTTGCATTGAGCGCCCTGGAGCTTCAAACCGGTTACGCCGAAGCAACAATCCTTCTGATCGGTCTTTAGACCAGCATCCGTGATGGTTACTTCCAGGGCCAGCTCCTCGAGCGACCAGCTGTTCGCCTGGGCCACGCACTGCCTGGTGGCCGTTATGTAGGCCTCCGGGTTGAGCAGACCACCCAACCAAACGGGGAAGCCCTGCAGCTCCTTGGCTCCCGCCTGCGAGACCAGCTGCGACACCTTCTGCAGCTGCTGCACCCGGTTGCTGAAGTCCGTGATCCACTGGATCACCGTGCAGCCAGCAGGAACAGTGTATCGCTTCCAGCCCTTCGGGATGATGCCGCGCACCAGCTCGGAGAGCATGGAGCGGTGGTGGTTGGTCTGCTTCTTTTCGCCCTGGCAGATCAAGACCACATCCTGGAGATCTAGGATCACCGTCTGCAGCAGCCGGGCGCCGCTGGTCACCTCGCGTTCGAAGTAGCGGTACAGTGGGTCCTTGATGTTCTCCACTGTGCGCTTCAGCACCTGCAGGCTCTTCGGGAGCAGTTCCAGCCAGGCGGTGGCCGAGTTGTGCAGCGTCTTCATCCAGGACGGACGTCCGTCCTCGCTTCTTGCCACTGCAGAGGCCGACTGCTCCGACTGATCCTCCACGCTGTATGCCAGCTCATCGTCGTCCTCCAGCTGCTGCATCTTCAGCAGCTTGCTGACCAGATCGGTTCCCCTGGTCGTGAGCAGAACCTTTTCGGCGTTGTTCGGCAGTCCCAGCCACGAAGGCGTCTGGCGATCTGTGAGGTTCTCAATCCACTTCAGGAAGTGATCGCGGCGAGTTCCGTCTGGCATAGTGATGTGCCGGAGGCCACCGGAGGATCCATCTACATTGGCCACCAAGGCAAAGTCTGCCTCGAAGCTGCGGGCGGTGAAGAGTTTCTTCAGGAAGGAGGTCAGCAGCCGCTGATCGAAGTCGTTGTCGATCTTGCCTCCATAAATGGACTGGGACAGAAGCGTGACCAGAGCATCCCATGGCACCTTCTCCGGTGGGAGGTTGGTTCGACCCATGGCTGTGGTGTCGATCCAGGTGTCCAACGTATCGCAGGCGACACGAAGATCCGACTCATTAAACTCGTACTTCTTGGCCCAACCCAGGGGCACGTAGCGGAGGCGCTCCTGGACGATGGCATGGAACCAGGCCAACAGGAAGTACAGGCGTGCACGCTCGCTGGGGGCCTTCATCATCCTGGCAGCCGGAACAGTGGAGAAGGTGCGCAACAGGTTGGCCCGAATACCCGGTGGAGGTTCGAACACAAAGATGCGGCCTGCACGGAGAAGGTTGACCGGCACCTTCGGGTTTATTTCCATAGTAAGGAAGAGCCGGAAGCCGGAGTGTGGCTGCAAGGAATGCATCTTCTTCTCCAGTTGGACTAGCCATTGCGGCGCCAAGTGAACGTTCTTCAGCAGGACCCAGCGACCGCTCTTGCAGGCCATGTTGATGGCCCGTTCGGCCTGGTTGAAGCCCTCGGCGGATCCGATGGCGATGCTGGATATCTGCTTGTTCTGCTCCGCAGCCAAGTCATCCACGCGTCCAGAGGCATCGAATCCAGGCACGGAGCACAGCAGGGCCGGGGTGTTGCAGTTCAACTGCTTGTCCACCACGTTGGCAAAGTCAAGTTCCTGCTCGGCGTTGGGCATGAAGTCCTCGCCCAGAACCGTGTTCACCACATTGTGAGCGGCGGCGATGACGCGGTCCGGCCGGAAGGCCTGAATCAGCAGCAGCTGATGAACGGAGCTAACTATCGGGCTGAGGGCCTTGGACTCGTCCCACAACTGCGGCACCACCTGCTCCGGAGAGCTCTGCTGCAGCCAGGCACCCAGCTCCGGCATGGCGCGCACTTTCTCAAGCAGCTTCCGGAAGATGGGCAGCCGGGTGGCCAGGCGGTTGACTCCTTCCACCTGCTCGCCCGATAGGCCCTCCACGGGCGTGGGATTGGCCAGCAATCCTTCGCGGCTGCGCAGGAAGAAGTTGAACTCGGCATCCAGGTTGGACTCCGAGGTGCCCTTCAGATGGATCTTGCACATGAGCAGAGCGAAGGTCAGCCGGTCGTTGTGGAGCATTCCACGGGCCACTCTTTCGTAGCAGACCTGGAACAGATCCTTGGTCACGATGCCCAGACGCTCCGAGTGGTCGGACTTGCCCTCCAACCTCGGATTGTTGTACAGAACGGTTGAGAATATGTCGAGGAACATCTTCAGCGAGTACTGGTACAGGAAGTGCACCTGGTTAAGGCTGTCCATGGTGAAGTAAATATTGCTGCACGCCACCGAGAGGGGAAGGTACTGCTGGGATACCGTCTCAATCTCAGCTATGACCTTGTCGGTCTCGTCCACCTTCTGGTTGATGTCGTAGGCCTCCTTCTTGAGGGTCTCCAGGGTGGTAATCACCGAGTCGTCGTCCAGGATCTTGCCCTTGGCGTCGTTCAGCGCCTGCAGCAGGCTCTTCTCCAGCTGGCGGAGTCGCAGGCGGAACTCGCCCTGCAGCTTCAGAAGATCGGAGCGCTTCTCATCGATGTCTGGGCGCTCCGCCTTCAGCACTTGGTTCAAGCACTGCGACTGGAGCGAGCTGCGAGTCACAGTGAAGTTCACAAACGTAACTCTGGAGCAGATGTCCGGAGGGAATTCGACAGTGGGATCCCGAGTGGACAGGAATATGACGAACGAGGGTGACAAGTCAATGTCCTGGTCACCGAGAGTGATCAGCACTCGACCACCCGTGCGACGCAGTTCGCGATTGAGCACGGGATTCAGAATAGGATCATAGTTCTCCACGTCTTGCACCAGCAAAGGATTACCGAAGCGGAGCGCGGACTCCAGATTCTTGCGGAAGGAGTCGTCCAAGAAGGACGTCTTCGTGATTTTCTTTCCGGCATATTCGTTGAGCAGGAAGGTAGTGGCCTGACCCGAGGGATCGATGATCAGAGGGTAGCGGTTGAAGCGCTTCAGCATGATGGCGTTCTCCGTGCACAAGTCGTCCGTGGGCAGGGCGTTGGCCTGCCACCTGAGGCGCTCGTCGGGATTGGACAGATACTCGGTGCGTGCAATGTCTGCCCGGTATTGGATGCTGGCCGCCTGGAGATGCTGCGACCAGGTGGTGAACAGATTCAACCGATAGTGCTGGTCGAAGTAGCCACCGTAGGCTATGAAGGCTGCGGACAGCAGCACGTCGCCCACAATCGTGGACATCTGAGACTTGAACGTCTCGCTGGTAGACTCCCAACGCTCTCGCTCAATGTTGAGGCTCTTGAGCAAAGCGATCGAGCGGTCCACCTTGGCCTGGACGTTCTCCAGATCCGTTTTGATGGCCTGGGCCTGGGAAATCAACTGAGCGTACTCCTCCTTGTAGGCAGCGATGCTGCGCTCCAGCTGCTCCACCAGGTCCTTGGTCTCCTTGGCGCTGGCCAGGTTAACGTCGGCCTGCTCCTCCAGCGAGCGCAACTCCTCGCGCAAGGGCTCGACGCGCTTCAGCATGTCGGCATACTCAATCTGGAAGTGGAACGGAATCAAGTTAAAGGAGTCCTTTCTTACTCATCATGAGCATTAGTCTCACCTGAGCTATGGCCCATTTAACCATGGGTCCGCACGCCATACTGGCACGGTTGACCTTCTCGAAGTTGTAGTCTGGGTTGCTGAGGTACTTGGACTTCATCTTCTCGCGCACCTCATCGCTTTCGGGAATACAAGATCATTATTAGACGAGCCTCAAGCCAGGGGTTTGGTGGTTAGTGAGTATGAAGGCAAGCAAAGCATGGGGATTACTACGAACCAGCGAAAAGTTCGCCCAAAACCATTAAAGTTCAAACAAAAGTGGCAGCCAATAACCAAAATTAGTTTGAAAATAAGTAGGCATTAGAGAGTATTGCAAATATTTACAAACCATAGGGCGGCCGCAGCTCGCCTGTGAAACAAAACTACGCAACAAAATCAAACAAAATCCAATTTCTACTCTCAAAACTAGGGCATAACAGCATCAACATCAAAAACATCAACGAGAAACAACTGGATTCGAGTCGAGAACGAAATGGGTGTGGGTGTTGGTAATAACTTGGTTCATGCTTACGTTATGTTCTCGGTACCGAAGTTAGATACAATTGAATTTATGAAATTTTCGCGCATGATCACGGCCCGGATCGATTTCCAATCGGTCGCATTCTCGCCCAGCAGCAGGCAGATCGATTCCAGGGCCAACTTGACCACCGACGGTGGATTAGCCATGGTTCGCACCTCAACGAGCTGTTGCTTGCGTATCGACTTGACCGCTGCACATCGTCGATCGTCGATGGTCGATGGTCGATGGGTTGGGAGTGGTTAACGAGGAGGATCAGAATTAATAAACGGATGTTATTAGATTAGGCTAGTTATAGTTATTTACTAAGGACCCGCTCTCTCGGGGCGTTACATCTGGCACCTAGTCTTCGCTCGGGGTTACGACTGGTTAGTCATACCCTTGCACCACCTCTAGTGACCTCAAAATAAGTACAGTAGGATCGGCCAGCCGATCGAGAATCTGTGAGACAGTGTCCTGTGGAGCATCCCTCTTTCGAAAGGTCAGTCTTTAGTTTCACACACACAGAGGCGACAACGTCTATACAGCCTCGGACATCGGATGTCCTGGGTATCGGTTAGGGGTTATATGTTGAGCTTAGCCAGTGCGCTGCGTATGCTTTGGTGTTGGTTGGAGTATACAGTGTACATGTTGGGTTATGGATGGCATGTTTGGATTATACATTTATGGGAGGAGGATCGATCGCGGTTCGGATTAGAGATGAGGTGCTGAAGAGTGAGCGTGATGCTAGAGAGAAAGGTTGCGTACGTGATCTTGTCAGTCTCCAAGTTAACGATCGAGGAGATGAAGCTGTCTTTAACGAGGATGCCCCTAATGGCCTTCCAGTCGGTGGCACTCTCGTTCAGCAGCTCGCAGACCGACTCCAGGGCCAGCTTGACCACGGCCGGTGGATTGGCCATCGACCTCACCTCGGCCAGGTGTTTCTTTTTGATCGAGCTAACGGCTATGGGAGGAGTGGGAATGTGGCAGTGAGTTGGGTGTGGTGTGGTGGGGTTCAAAATTAAAAACACGTCATTATAATTATTGAAATCAAAGGCGATGAGGTCCCTCCTTGTGGACACAACACAGTCTCGCGACACTTCGTCCTTAGGGAATACCTTAATGCTAGGTAACAGATCTTTATGTCCCTCCCTCTGGTGCCCTGTCGCCCGACGAACTCACCTTGCTGGGCTTCGATGACAGCCGGCTCCACCTGAGCCAGGTCGGCCATCACATATTTGCGCTTCTCCTCGATCTTGACTGTTTGGTCGGCCAGCCGGATCTGGATCTCCTGCGACTGGATCTTCTTCTTCTCGGCCTCTTGCTGGTCCTGGAACATCTGCTTGAGCTTGGCGTTGGCAGCCTCGTTCTTGGCCTGCAGTTCCTGCTTCTTCACCGCCAGCGACTTCTGCATCTCCTCCACCTGCTCCACGGTCTCGGCGATCTTGTTCAGACCCACGTTGAGGTGGAGCTGCTGCTCCTCCAGGTCGCTGCGCTTCTCGTTGTACAGCTTCACAAAGTGATGGATGAAGTCCAGATAGTGGCGAGGAGTGACCGCCATAGTGCGGCCGCCGCGTTTCGCCAATCGAGCGTTGGCCTGGTGCAGGGTCTGGTGGACGTACACGCAGGAGTTGATGACGGCATCGCGGTGCGTGGGATTCGCCGGCACCAGCGGGCACACCGAGGGGAAGAAGTCCGGTGCGTGCCAGTTGGGTTTCTCGAGGTCCACGCGCGTTGTGAACTCCTTGCCCACCTGGAACAGGGCCGAGTCAGACCAGTCGCCGAACCAGTTCAGCACACAACGATTGAAGAGAGCCGGCGAGGTAGCCGCGCGGTCCTTCAGCCCATCCGTGGAGGGGTTCATGGTGAAGACCACGTGGAGGTTGCGCATCACCTGCTGGGTAAACCACTTGTACAGCTCGTCGCTGGAGTCCAGCATGAGCCCCTCTCGCTGAGCGCCCTCCTTGCACTGGGTCATCAGGGTGGTGTACTCGTCGCCCTCGAACAATCCGGGCACCTCTCCGTTGGCCAGGAGGGTGTTCATGCGCTCCAAGAAACCAGAGTCCAGCACGTTGGACTCATCCAAAATGAAGGCAATCTTCTCGTCCTTACAGCCGGAGCGACGCAGAACGCATCGCAGATCCTCGTCGAAGTCCTCGCTCGTGTACTTGTTGTGCACCTTGATCTGGAAGATGGACAAGCCATTCATCCAGGCCACAAACCGGGAAAGCGTAGTCTTTCCGGCACCGGACACACCAATAAGCAGCAGGTGACCTTGCGGCTGGCGGAAAATACGATCGATACGCAGAACGTGATCCAAGACCTCGTCGAACAGCACCAGCGGCACGTCCAGCTCCTCCTCGTAGAAGACCTTCAGCCTGGCGCGCACGTAGTCACGCAGCTCCTCGCGGTTCACCGGCATGTAGTCCTTGCTGAGCCAGTTACTGTAGAGGATCGGGCGCTGGAGAGCCTCCTCCTGATTGATGCCGGGGAAGTGCTTCTGGCCCACCAAGTCAATGTTCTCATTGGTCCAGCGACGCTCCGAATCATCCACCAGACGATCCTGGAACAGACGCAGGGCTTCGTGAGCCCAGAGACGCACCAAGCCTTCAACGGGCAGCGAGTCCAAAGGACGAATGGCTTCGCAGATACCGCGCACCCAGCGGGTCATCTCTCGCGGGGAATACACGTAATGCGGCTGCATGTCCTGGGTGAACCGATCCTGGGAGGCCAGGTAGAACTCCACCATGGCGTTGGTCAGGGGCTCGGCGTAGCCACGCAGGGCTGGCATCAGCCGCAGCATGGCGCGCGAGAAGGTGCCATAGATCTGCTTCAGCGAAGTCTCTCCAGGGTAGTCCACGTAGATGATGGGCACATGTCGCAGGAACCGATGCGACAAGGGCTTGCGACCAGGATCGGTGGGCGGATTGCAAGCGCCTACGAACTGGATGCGCTCCAGGGACACCCAGGCTTGGTCGCTGGCCCGGTAGAAGCCCTTGTGCTCCACCAGCTGTCGCAGGAAGGAAATCACACGCTGTGTGCCGTAGCTGTCCATGTCCGGGAGATTGATTTCATCGCAGAAGAGCACCAGCCACTTGCCGATCTGAACGGGCGAGAGCACCACTCCGTTGGGGGTCTTGCGGTACTCGCAGTAGTGGTCGAAGGTCTTGAGCAGCAGCTCCGGCGTGGTGGCCGACGAGAAGTTCAAGCCCACCACTTCCATGTCCGGCAGGGCGCGAAGAGCCGAGAACAGGGTCATGGTCTTACCGGAGCCAGGGGGTCCGCAGAGCACTGAAACGAAAAGTTATTAAAGGCATCCCACGATTGGACTATGAAGAACTCTAAGCTCACCCAATGGCTTGTGCTCCGCCAGCCAGGTGTAGAGTAGCGACTCGTGGCGCACGGTGTCCAGCGTGGGCACCACAATGTCCGGCGAGGCCACCTTGTGTGTTTCCACCTCGATGACTGGCACCTTGTTGCTCCAGGGCACCCATTCGCCGTTCATGCTCACCTCGAAGTCAATAATCGGAGCACCTGCTGCTCCTGGTAGGGGAACGGTGGTCACACTCCTCACAAAGTCGCCGAGGTCAGTGCGCACCTTGAGCTTGGCGTCGCCAGCGAACGACCAGAGAACCGAATACACTAGAGCCTTGGGAATGTAGTGCTCCAGCTGGTCGGCGGAGCACGGGAAGTCCGGGTGCTGGGAGTTGAAGTTCAAGACGTTCCTGGCCGACTGGTTCAGCATGGAGAACAGGGAGCTGAGGGCGCGCAGACGGGTGAAGTCCATGATGTGCTCCTGGTCCATCGCGTACTCCAGAGTCCGCACCACGATGCCGTCGGCGGAGAAGAAGGGCTGCAGCAACAAGGCAATGTCTCGCTGCACCTGGAGAGAGGGTGAGACCTCTTCCTCCTTGTCCTTTGCCGGCTTGATGACGCCCACAAAGTCCTCGTCGCCGTCTTCCAGCGGAATGCTCCGCAGTCGCGACAAATAGTTTTCGAATATCATCTCCGTGGAGAGGACATCCTCCGAGAACCAGACCATGCCGCAACGGGACACTGTGGCCAGCGTGGCGAACTTCAGATCCTGCACCTCAAACATCACCCGGACATTGGGGGGCAGGGAAAGACGCTCTCCGTTGGGGAGAGTCAGGAGCTTGTTGTCGTCCAGCACGGAGTTGAGGTTCTCCACCCATTCGGGATCCACGTCGCCATCGAATATGATCCACTGCCGCTTGTTGATCTCGCCGCGCACATTGTCGATGATCTTGCGCAGAATGTGGGTGAACAAGCCATCGGTCCATTCGCGGGTGTTCGGGTCCAGGACACCGTAAAGGGCCTCCTTCGAAATGGCCTTCGGGTCAATCACATGAGCCACGCCTTCAACGCCCTCGAAGCGCTCCAGGGCTTTGAGAAGGGTCCTCCAGGCGGTGGACTTGCCGGACCCAGATGGACCGACCATCATCAGGCCGTGGTTTAGATTGGAGATCTGGTAAAGTTGCAGCACCTGGGGGAAGGAAGGGGTTGTCAGTAAGTACGAGGAGCTCTCGATGTGGACTAGTTACTTTGTCCACCCAGGTGGAGCCGAGTCCCTGTTTGGTTAGTAAGCATGTGTGGATCGAATGGTTATGAAGTGAGTTAAGAGTACTGGCTACAGGCTAGCGCCCATCTTACCTTCTCCATCCAGGCGGCGCCCTGCTCGTCGCCCTCGCCGCAGACCAGATAGTCCTCCTGGCACACCTTGCGAATCTCCTCCTTCAGCCCCTTCATTTCGGCACGGGTGTAGCCCACATTCGGGAACACATCGCTGAGGAGCGAGAAGAGCAGTGGAATGTCCTCGGCCACCAACTTGGGCACCATGGTCTCGCACACCGACTGGATGAGGATCTCCTGCTCCGGCAGGTTCTCGGCCACCGAGGCCTCGTCGATGTTCTCGTCGCCGCGCTGCTTCATCTGCTCCTTGATCTTCATTATGCGGTCGCGCTTCACGTTTCCGGCCGAGATCAGCACGGACTTCAGAGCACGCAGCCCGAAGTCGTAGTGGCTCTGGTTGGAGAGCTGCTCGTCGCAGAGCTTGAAGAAGGGCACGATCTTGCAGGCCAGTTTCTCGGCGGAGCGGAAGCCCTGGGAGAAGAGCATCACCTCGGCAATCAGCTGGCGGTCCGGCGTGGTCATGGCCAGCGAGCGGAAGAGCTTCTTCAAGTTGTCCGGCAGATTGGAGCGACCGGCGTAGCCCGGGTTCATGGTGATGAAAATGGCCATGTCCGGCGAGACGCGCACCTGCTTGCCCACCAGCTCCACCGAGATGCTCTCCTTGTTGCTGTCCATCTCGTACTTCAACGCCTCCTGGATGGTTTGGATCTGCTGCGAGCAGGCGGAGAGCATGCGCTCCTCCAGTCGATTGAACTCGTCGAAGCATCCCCAGGCGCCCACCTGGCACAAGCCGACAAAGATGCGGCCCATGGCCTGGAAGTCGAAGGTCTCATCGCAATTGAAGACCAGAACGAAGCGACCTAGCTGGTTGCCCAAAGCCTTCACGGACTCGGTTTTTCCTGTGCCTGCCGGTCCGAACGGAGAACCTCCCAGCCGAGATTCCAGAGCCTGGGTCATGGTCAGATAGCAGCGATCCGTTAGGGGGGTCTGCACCAATCGATCTTGCACCCCCAAGTACTCGAACCCGTAGAAGAAGCGAGCGTTCGCCATGTGGATGGTCAGCTGCTGCAGCACCTCAGTCTGGCGGGGATCGAAGTAGAAGCGCATCTCGCACAGCCACTGGAAGGATTTGGGGGAAGTCACGCCATTGGTGATCAGTCGGCGAGTCACCGTGCGCTTGTGGACAAACTCGTTGATCAAGTGCTCCAGCTTGCGGCGGCGCAGGGGAGGCTGCTCCTGCAGAACAGAGTCTGCCAGGACATTCAGAGTGCTCTCCACGTTGCCGAGGACGCGCTGCATGGGCTTGGCGTTGTTGTTCTCGGACGCCTGCTGCAGGGCTGTCTCAACATCCTCAGACCAGAGAATCTGGGCGGCCAGGACCACGATCTGGGCCTGGTACTTGTCGCACCACTCCATGTAAGCCTGCAAGAAACAAATCCATTGAAGACTACCAAAGGATTACATCAGAAACAAACCCACCTGTGGGTCGATCTTTCCGTCGCGGAACTGCTTGATGTCCTGCACGGCCTGGGCCAGAAGAGAGGCCAGCGTGAAGCGCATCTGCTTCTCCACAAGCGACAGCCACTCATTGATCTTGGGGTGCTCCACCGTGGACACTGGGTTAATGAAGTGCACCTCCTCGCCCTCGCGCGACGATATGCCCAGGATCACATTGTTCTCCTCGTTCAGGAGGATGGCGGCCACGCCGGCAAACATCTTCTTGAAGTGCTTCTGCAGCCGGGCGATGTTCTTGCTGTTGCCGATGATTTCCAGCAGATCCTCGTCTCCCACGAAGTAGAATCGCGGGAACGAGGTTCTCTCGCGCTCCAGATACTCTCCCAGGGCCTTCTGGATCTTGCCCAGCAGATCGGCCAGACGTTCCAGGGACCGCTGGACTGCTGGGATGTTCAAAACGTCCATGACCTTGGGCGACTTGGTCACCTTCTTCATTAGTCCAAGGAACTCGGAGCTGATGCTCTGGAAACGAGAGGTCTCCACGGGGAGCAGAGTCTTGATGTCAGCGCTTCCCGAGAATATGCCCTCGAGGTACACCCAGCGCCTCTGCACGTCGATCCAAACATCGAAGAGGGCGTTGATCCTGTTCAGCTTCTCCTCCCAGGTCAGGGCCTCCTCCTCGAAGACCTTGTAGTACGGCGACAGCTTCATGGCGGCGACCGAGTTTATGTGCTCCTTCACCTTGTTGAACAGATCGTCCCACCCGCGGATGATGCGGCACTTGTTCTGGTAGTTGATGAGGTCCAGCTCGTAGTTCTGCCAGGACTCGCGCACTTGCTTCAAGAACTCCTCCAGAGCCATCTCGCCCTGTGCCACCAAGATGATGTCCTTCACGACGCCCTCGTTCTTCTGCAGGTTTACATCCCAGACCTGGCCCAGGGTTAGGTCAGAGATGACCCAGTTGACGCGCAGCTGCTTGGTCAGCTGCTTCCAGTGGCGCTCCTTCAGGGCGTCGGACTTCAGCTCCACAATCAGCATGTTCACCTTGATGTAGCTCTGAATCAGCTTCTTCACGTACTCGTAGGACTCGTACATGCGCAGGCGAGCCGGCAGCTCCTTCAGCTGGGCCATCATAGCCTCCAGCTGCTGGCGCAACTTCCTGGGCTGGACTGACAGCCAGGGCTTCTCACGCGTCTCGTCGATCTGGGTCCATACCTTGGAGAGCTCGCTCCAGACGCCGCGCAGATCCTGCAGCTCCTCCAGGGCCACGTTCATGCGCTCGGAGCTGTTGTTGGGCACAGCGGACTCCTGGAGCTCCAGGGCTTCCTTGGCCTTGGCCACGTTGTCCCGTTCCTCCTTCAAGCGGGAGTACTTGCTCTCGAAGATTTGCAGTTGCTGCAAAGCATCGTCGGGGCGAATCTTGCCGCCTGTCGGCTTGGTCTTCTCCCAGTCGTTGAGGAAGTCCACGGTGCGGGTCTCCACTGCCTTGTCCTCGGCCACAATCTTCGCCTGCAGGCTGGCCACTTGCGTCTGGATGGCTGTGTCCTTGCGCTTGATGATTTCGTTGAAGGCAGACCACTCGCCCTCAATGTTGTCCACGTGCAACCAGTTGTTGGGGAACTGGAAGCGCTGGCGCTCCAGGATGCGCTGAGCCTCCCTGAACACCTCAACCTGCTTGTCCCAGGCGATCATGTCCTTCTTGAGGGTCTGGACGTATGTGATGAAGCTCACAGCGTCCGAGGTGCTGGCCGCCTCGATGCTCTGCATCTCCAGGTCGGTTCTCGACTTGGACACCTTGGTGTGGAAGGTGCTCATCTCGGTGCCCAGCAGGGTTCCGAACTTGCCCAGGGCCTCCTTGTGCCAGGAGTCGTACTTCAAAGTAACCTTCGCTTGCACCTTGGCGTAGTCGATGATGATGGGACCGTAGGCCCGTCGGGTGTCAGAGGTGTCGAAGGTCGTGCGGGACTGCTTGATGTCGTTGAGGCACTTGATCCACAAGTTGACATCCTCCCCCAATCGTCCGTAGAGCATGTCCGCCTGGAGATCCCACAGGCTCTGGTAGCGCAGCCACTCCTCCACATAGTTGCGCACCTCGCTCACCTTGTTCTCGATGGCTCCGTAGGCGTTCTCCAGAATCTTTCCCTCCGGCAGCTTCGTCAGAAGATTGCGGTACGTCTGCGAGACTGGCTTCTCCAGGCCCACCTGGTAGCGGGTGGACTGGAGGCGCACCTGCGAGGTGACAATGGCCTGCCAGGCGAAGAACTGTTGCATGATCTGGAAGCGAGCCTCCTCGATCGAGGGATACAGATACATCTGCTGGTTGGTAATCCTGATCTCGTGCACGGCGTTCTGGATCTGCGGTTCGCCTCCCAGCTTATGAGTCGGTTGGGCTGGAGCATCTGTGTCCATAGAGGTGTCTACCTCCTTCTTGTTGCCAGTCAAGGCTTCGGTCCAGGCTTGGATTCCGGCCTGCAGTCGCAAAGCCAGCTTCTTCTCCACCTCCTCATCCAATCGGGTGACCCACACAGTCAGATTGGAGTACTGGCGCAGCGACAGATCGTCCACGGCGTGCTGGATCTTCGAAAGAATCTCCACGAAAGTGGCGGCACTGTACGGACAGGTCTCTAGCGAGCGCACGTCCACATCCAGCTGTTCCTCCACCACGAGCAAGTCATCCACCTGAAAAACGGATGAATGAAAGGATAAGTAGGAAAGACCACCAACATGTCCGCCATTACCTTCTCCTGGAACTGGGTGACGCACTCCGACAAACGAAGCACGTACGGATCCAGCTTGTACGACTCCCAGATGAGCCCGATTCCCTCGGAGACCAGGTTGAGGACATCCTTGCGAAGGCCTGCCACAAGGGGCACAATGCTAGCGCGGTCTTCGATCTGCACGGCAGGCAAAGTTTAGTTAGTAACCATCTTAGAGTATGCACTAACTAGTTGGGTTTTCATTGGCATGCGAGGTGTAACAGAACTAAACTAAGATTGGAAATCAAAGGGTTGCAGGTACGCCACAAAGAACTAGAAACAAACTTTGGGGACATAGGACACTACCTTGAATACGGAATTTTGTGCTAGACTCCTATTATTAAGCTGCATGAAAGAAAGGTTGTTGGTTGTTCGGTTGGTTTAGTACGAGTGTGGATATCACAACTAAGACTAGGTGGAAACGTGTAGGCGTGGTCAGTGTTCGAAATGTGGTGGGTGACGAAAGACAAGCTGCACGCCGGGAACAAAGCAATGCAAGAGTACAGAGCGCTTGCTCCAGCATGGTGACATCTTGTGCTTGGGTGGAAGTGGAGTGACGGGTGTATTTGTGGAAAGTGTAAGAGCGGAACAGAATGGTTTCCAAAGAAAAGCAAGTCCCATTGAAGGTCCCCCGAAACCCAAAGACAGCGCCTACCTTTTCGAGAGTTCGTTCGTAGGTGCGAACACTTTCAATCAGCGATATGGCATACGGATAGATCTGGTTCGCCTGATGCGCCTTGTTCACGATGGTCAGTGGAACTCTAAAAGATATAGGAATCACATGAAGTACAACTTAGAAAGCATTCTTTTGAAGCCCTACCTGAAGCCCAAGTTCTTAATGTTGCGCACTTCCTTGGCCAAAGTGATGATTTCCGGCAGGAAGTTGACCCTAAGGCGCAACACATTGCCACGTCCAATGCGGGACCGAGTGGACTCAATGGTGAAGATGCGACCAGTGCTTCCGAAATTGCGTTCCTGGACCTTGCGGGCCCACTCGTGGAAGACATCTGAAATGGACAGCTTTGCACGGAAGCTGTCGCCGTCCGCCTTCAGCTTTTGGCCCTCAATGTGGGTCTCCCAGCCCTTGCCCAGCACGTCCTCGACGCGCTTCAAGTACATGGTCAGCTGATTGTCGATCTGGCGGGCCCAGATGATGGAGCCAGCTACTGGCGGCAGATCCCGCACCGAGGACAGGCGGCAGCTCTTGCTCTGCGGATACTGCACCTTAAACTTTTCGTGCAGTGCCTCGATGTCGTCCTTCACCCGCTGAATAAGCTGTGTCTGGTACTCGCGGATAGCCCCACGGATGTGCGGACGCACAAAGAGCGCGTTGAAGCGCGAGAAGATGCGGAACATTTCGTTGGCGTTCTTCGCAGTTCCGAGCTGGTCGCGCAGGTGAGCTGTGATGCGGGTTTCCACGCGATCTAAAGACATTCAAAATGTGTTATAGTCATGCTGGATATTCATTCAGAAAGAAGTACACCCACCGATCTTCTCCTCATAACGCTTGACAGCCGCCTCCCAGGCCTCTGACCCCTCCTTGGTAATGTCCAGGCAGTCCACCTCCTTGACGTTCTCATAGGCCAGGTTCACCTCCTCGATGGCATTGGCATCAGCAGCGTCCAGGCTGTAGGGCTGCTTGGTCTCAGCAGTGGTGCCGTCCTCGCTCACTGCCGGCTTGTTGGGCCGCAGGACCCGCAAGATGACAGTGCGCAGCTGCTCATGCTGGCGCCGGAACTTGCGCATGTGTTCCATGCGCGTCTGCAGCTTCTTGTGGGCCGGTGAGACGCGCCAGACCATCTTAAGGTGCTCGTCGCGCTTCTTCTTCACAATGTCGCGCAAGAGCCCCTGCAGCTTGTCGTACTCGTCGTCCCAGCAGCTAAAGATCTCGAAGCACTGGTTCATCACGCGCTCGAACTCATCGAAGGGGATGTGCATCAGACGCCGGGTGCCCAGCACCTTCAGCAGCTGTTGGGATAAGTCCCGCGAGATGGCCTCGATGAGCTTCAGGCATCGCTGGATGGGATACTTGGTGTTGCGCACCTTGCGCAAATGCGAGAATATCTGCTGCACGGCCGGACGAATCTTCTCCAGCTCGGTGGCGGAAAGCAGATCGTTAATGGGAAAGTCCTTCATCAAGGGATTATAATCGGCCACGGTGGCCAGGGCCTGTTTTAGGCCAGTGTCCGTGTCGAAGGACACAGTGGCATGGAAACGCTTGCCATGCTTCAGAATATCCAAGGTCAGAGCCACCTCCGGCGACTCGCGCTTCTCCTGAATGCGGTAGAGAGCACGCTCCAGATTCAGCCAAAATGAGATTTCCTAAAAGAAAGCCATAATGGGTAAGTGTATAACAAGGTTTTTTAATTTAAAGACTCACCTGCAGAGCAGTGCCCGACCCCGGGTCACGGTTCAGCTTGGTCACCTTTTTGATTTCGGTGATCCAGCGGTTGACACCGGTCTGCAGCTGGTTCAGGAACGTGGAGTCCTCCACCCTGTCCCCGAAGTCTGCCACCTTCGCCTTGCGGCCGTCGTCGGCGCACTTCCGAATCACGTTGTTGACGGTTTGGTGGGCCGTCAGAGTGATTTCCGGTATGTCGATGTTCTGCTGCAAGTGCAGCAGTCCCATCTCCAGCTCGGCCAGCTTCTTCTCCACGGAAGGAGCCATCTTGTCGCCGTCACGGTCAGCGCGTCCCGACTCTTTGACGTAAGACTTGAAGTACGGCGCCAGGGACTTACTGATGAACGCGTGCAGCGTCTCGTAAGGAGATCCGTCCGAGAAGTTGATCAGCCGCAGCTGCGAGTGAATCGACTTGTCCGCCTCCACCACCAAGCCACGCTTGATGCAAGCCAAGGAGGCCATGCGGCTGTTGGTGAAGTGGACATCGTTGCTGATCTGGTAGGTGACCTGCTCCTTTTCCTCCTCGCCCTCCGCAGGCTGCTCGCTGTCGTCCTCTGCAAAGATTAGATTGTATAAGCACCCATACGAAATTCATTAACAAGCTGTGGAATTTTAATGCAGTACTCCTACCCTGCTTAGTAGATTTAACCTCAGCACTTAATCCTGGAAGCAAATAAAGATAACGAGTTGCACCACCCACAACCACCCGATAAGAACACAAAATAAACTACCATTATCGTTGATTGCCTAAACCCCCCAGACCCCCCTAAACGGTACTCATAAGTAAGTACGGCACTCACCCTCACCCACAACCGACACGACCCATTTGGCATTGGACTCAATGGCACGGCACTGACACAATTTCATTACCAAGGCGTCGACCTCCGGAAATTTAGCGGCCAAGGGAGAACCTTCAAAATTCGTGCGCTCAAGGCTGGACCTTGGCGCTGTCATTGCTCCCGCACAGGTGGCCCTGTTGGCAATGCCAATGCCATTTCCCACTGCCAATGTCAATGACAGCCCCAAAGTCGCGAGTAACAGAGTCAGTGGGTCAATGTGTGCGCAACTTCCAAGGTCGCTTCCGTAAACAAAGCCAACCTGTTGCTCGCTTTGTTTACAAACAAACAAAAGCCGGCAGCCGGCGAATGGCAAAACAGCTGACGGAAGTTATCGGAAAACCGGATTCATCGCGCTATCGTTATCGAAGTGTGAGTCAGATGAGCTGACGTCATGCGCAGAAACTTGATTTGATGCCCTAACAAAAAGAGTAGCGACTATAACATAGACTGAAACTGCAAGTGTATTTTTTACACATACAAGGGGTTTGGTTATTAATGTTTTTATATTATAAATCTTATATTTTGATCGTATGTTCCCCAAGTATCATAACTATATTTATTCTGGAAAAATTTGTCCATATAATCCATTTCTTTAATACGGAGTTTACAAGCTCACGTTTCTTTTTTTGTAAAAAAAATATTTTTGGATTCACAACACATAATACATAATCCGCATAAGTTCCTACTTAAACTGAATCTTATTTTTATTTGTTAAATATTTTTTATCTCCAGGAATTAACATCAATTTCGTCAAATACATCAATTTACCATAATGTAACCATTTTTGAAATAAATATACATATAAATATAAAATTATTTTTAGAAATAAATAACAAATAATACAGGATTCCAATAAGTAGAGCAATCAAAAGTCGACCTTATTAGGAAACATACATATCCAATTGGAATTCAACCAAAAACAACTGGCCAATTGATTTTTAACTAACTCGTTTTGTATTCTGATAGCACACCTATAAAAATGAGTCATTTTCAAATTGGAAGATACTTTTTGTAGCTACATATTCCACTAAACTTTCAATTCTTCTAGGAACTTTCTTTTATCTTCAACAGACGCCATTTTGTATGCAATTTTTGTGGTACTTGTTTGCCAGCGAGGCATAAAAACTCTCCATACCTTTAATGCAATTACGCTGGACATAAAGAGCCTGGACCTGGGGATCCGAAAGGAACTTGCGAATGGTATCCTGGTTGATTGGATCATCCAGAGCAGCGTTTAAAGACACAGGCACCACATCGTCGTCCGGCAGCAAGATGGTCACCGCCTTACGCAGATAGTTGGCAAATGCATCGTAATTGGCTATTGACACATTCACGCCCGGATCCACCGAGGTGTCGGTGTTCTCCAGGGAGTCACCCATGGTTGTAAACTAGTTTTTGTTCGGTTTAATGCAGTTAAATTTGTTCAATTGGATTTTTCACTCCGAGTGAAAAATTACGTGTGAAGTTTTTTTTCGCGAATGCAGCTTCAGCGTAGCCATACAGCCAAAAAAAGGAAAAATTCCGATAGACCTGGAGTATATCGGAAATGCAAAACTGGGCCTGGCGTTGCCACTTAGTCGAAATGCCTTCCCGCCAAAAAATATACATACAAATATAGGCCTCTAAATCGATGTGGCAGCTCTGCGGTATACCACAGCTGTTTTACTGTGGAATGCATTTCAGTTATTGTGATCTTGTTATTTAATAACTTATAAATGTGTAATTTATTCAATTAAAAATATTAAGATGCTAATTCTACGACACCTGCGTCCTGGTAGTGGACTACCGTGGATAAGCTGGCGTCGTCTAATTACCCAAAGCTGCACCGGAAACAAGGTAAATGGATAACTAACAAGTAGTGGCAAATTAAGACACTATTTTATAGACCGTAGATCTAACAAATGAGGTAAAACATAAAATTGAAGGACACTGGAGGGAGCAGCTCATCGGTGGGCAGTTTAACCCCAAGGAGGCCAAAGAAAAGTACTATGTTCTGTCAATGTTTCCATATCCTTCGGGGAATCTTCATATGGGCCATGTGCGAGTTTATACCATCGCAGATGCTGTGGCACGTTTCCAGCGAATGTGCGGCAAGAATGTGTTCCAGCCCATGGGTTGGGATTCTTTTGGCCTGCCGGCGGAGAATGCTGCCAATCAACGGGGAGTGGAACCTGCTGCTTGGACGGATCAGAACATAGACCAAATGAGAAAGCAACTTAAAAGACTGGGGTGCTCCTTTGACTGGAACCACGAACTATCCACCTGCAGTCCACAGTACTACAAGTGGACTCAACACCTCTTCCTCATGCTCCATCGCCACGGATTGGCCTATCAGAACGAGGCTCTGGTGAACTGGGATCCCGTCGACAAAACTGTTTTGGCAGACGAGCAGGTGGATGCCAATGGGTGCTCCTGGCGTTCCGGGGCTAAGGTGGAGAAAAAGCTGCTGCGGCAATGGTTCATCCGAACGAGTGCCTACGCCAAGCAGCTGCTGGATGGACTGGAGGATCCGACACTACGGGATTGGCGGGATATTATTAACCTGCAACGCCATTGGATAGGCGAGTGTGATGGTCACGCCTTTACGCTGCTAACCTCCGCCTCAGGACTGCTACGTGTTTGGACCGCTCATCCCGAACACCTTAAGGATCCTCACGCGTTTCTCGTTCTGCGAAGCACTCACCATCTGTCGAAGATAGAGGATGCCAGCATTCTCAGCGTGGAGAACCCCTTTGCGGGGACTACAATGCCTGTGGTATTTGGGGATAACGTGAAATTCCCGTCAAAGTGCGATGTTTACCTAGCAGCCCCCAGTTTCCGCAGCGAAGACAAGGAGCTGTGGGACTCGTATGGCCTTGCATTTTGTTCCAATGGTCAGGATGAAGCCAGTCTCAACCCAGGTAACTGGGAGCTCCTGCGAAAGGAGGTCTTGCAGGCAGCCACACGCTTGAATGTGGGAGGCTACCGAGTGTCTTCGAAGCTGCAAGATTGGCTGATTTCGCGGCAACGCTACTGGGGAACTCCCATTCCCATAGTTCACTGTTCCAAATGTGGAGCAGTGCCTGTGCCAGAAGATCAGCTCCCAGTCACCCTGCCGCCAAAGAACTCTCCCAAGGAAGCCTTTCTCTGCGAGTGCCCAAAGTGTGGGCAAAAGGAGGCTCGTCGTGAGACCGATACCATGGACACCTTTGTGGACAGTTCCTGGTACTACCTGCGTTACCTGGATGCCCAGAACTCGGAGCGTATTTTCGACTCGGAGCTTGCCAACCGCTTCATGCCCGTCGATTTGTATATCGGCGGAAAAGAGCACGCCGTGCTCCATCTTTATTATGCCCGTTTTATGAATCACTTCCTGCACAGCTGTGGTCTTTCCCCCACTAGCGAACCCTTCTCCCGCCTGCTGGTTCAGGGCATGGTCATGGGTCGCTCTTTCAGGGTGAAAGGCAGCGGACGTTATGTTCCAGAAGCTGAGGTAGAGGTGGTGAACGCCAAGAAGAACCAAGCCGTGCTTAAAGAAACCAAAGAACAGGTGGTCATGAGCTGGGAAAAGATGTCCAAGTCGAAGCTGAATGGCGTAGAGCCCAGTGACATGTTCGATGAGTACGGTACGGACACCACTCGCCTCATTATCCTGGCCGACGTGGCGCCCACTTCTCATCGCAATTGGTCCAGTGCGAGTAAGTATTAAAAATTAAACGCTGATACGACATGACATGATAACTGTGGATCCTCAGCGTTTCCTGGCATCCTAAACTGGCAGAAGCGTTTGTGGCTAACTCTAGAGGACTTCCAAGCTGCCAGAGAAGACTCCTCACCTGCGCTTGTGGATGTCAATAGCGAAGAGTTCCTCGCCGATGATGCAAAGCTCTTTGACGCAAGAAACTTTTACGTGAAAGGGGCAACGTTTAACTACCGGCATGCTCATCAACTGAGTGTGGCTATCTCCAAGATGCAGGGACTGACCAACTCCCTGAGGGTAAGTGAATGGAATGTAGCGTCATAGAAACTATTGTTCTGAATTGAATCCCCTCCCTAGCGTACACCCAAGCACATTCTGCGCCATGGAAAGCAGTTTGAAAGGGCTCTAGCCGCCCAAATCATCATGTTGGCACCGATGGCGCCGCATTTCGCATCGGAACTGTGGTCCAAGTTTGTGGCTGTTCCAGGAAGACTGAATCCAGCCAGTGAGGAGCTGCAGTGGTCTGAAGATGTGCTGGCGCAGCGTTGGCCGGACATTGACGCCGTCTACAACCTCGACCTGAGCATCAAAGTGAACGGCTTCGAGAACTGTGTGATCAAGGTGCAGCGAACTCTCCTCGACAAGGTTACGCACAGCGATGCCCTGGACATAGCCTTTAACACGGAATCGGTAACGTCTTACCTCATTGACAAAAAAATACGGACCACCAACTTTGTGCTCTACCCGGGCATAGAAGCGATTTTGAATATCTACGTGGACAAGGTGCAGAAGAAGCAAAAGCCGGAGAAGAGCGATGATGCAGAGGCTCTGCCCCGGGTGTAGGATAAGTCACTAGAGAGGGTCGAATGTAGGAATCGGAGCCATACTACTTATCTAGAACTAGGCACTTATCAAAGATGAAATGGTTTTAGTTAGCAAACATTTTTTTATATTTTTAATTGGTAATGTTTTTGAAATATTTTGATGAACTATTCGAGTGCTCTTCCATACCAAGATGAAGTGGAGGTGTCTTAGCTTTACCCCAAATAATATGTTTTGTTAGGAATGGCAAAGTCAACCCAGGGTTCAACCCGCCCGAAGGCATTTTCCGTGATGGCCAGATAAACGGCATCCTAGTTTGGTACTCTTTAATTATGTTTAATGTTAAATATTTATAAAAATTGGACTAGTTGTAAGCAGCTGCTTTACAGGATTGGTCACGAGGGACAAATGTAAATGCCTAGAATCGTAGGAATATAATGGTTGCTCTATTGGTGCACCTCTATCTAAAAGAAGCCACTATAACTAATAACTTTTCTCTGAATCTCTCGTGGGAATCGGCCAATCACTTCATTAGCTCGCACATCAGATTTCGCAGGTAAACATCCAGCTGGGCGTAATCCAGGAGCGTGTTCCGCACTATGTCAAGGAGCATGCTTGGCCACAGGGTTTCCAGTTTGTGCAGCTTCTCCACAGCGTTGCAGGTGTTTTCCAGCAAGAGCGCAAAATGTTGTCGACCCCTGTCCCGGGCACTGGGTGCCATGGCCGTGGTGCCGGATTCCTGCGTTGGATTTAAAGACAGAGCGGAGGACGAAGCAGCTCCCGGCCCTGCGGCATTTTTCTTCCACTGGAGCGCCTCTTTTCCCACCACCAGGCGCAGAGGCTTGTTGTCGGGGCGGAGAAGCCATTCCTTGGGCGACTGCTTGCTGGCCGTGCAGCTCTCATCCAGCCGCAGTCGGGCCAGCAATGGTTGGAGCATTACTTCGGGCATGGACCACAGCACCAGGTCGGACAAGCCGGCGTACATGGCGTTGGCAGCCTCCACCTCTGCTTCGGTAACCTCCTGACCGTTAAGCTGCTTTAAGCCCCAGTGCGAGAGTCGGTAAATGGCATAGGCTCGCCAAGAGTCTTTGGTAGTGATTCCATTGCCCTCCGAGTCTATCAGCAGGCTACTCAAGCCCTGCAGCTCCGCCAAGCCATTCAGTTGTCCCAGGCAGGAGATGTTCGTCTCCCGGAAAACAAAGTGCTCGGCGTGTGGAAAGCGCAGCTTGATTCTTCCCAGGACGCACACAATGCTGTTGAAGTTGATGTAGCTGAAGTTGAGGGTGTGGACGTCGTTGGCCTTGGCCGGATTCCACTGCTTGTCAATGAAGCGCAGGGCACCTTGGCCATAGATGTTCAGGTATCTTCCACAAATCTCTATCAGGTAGTCCCCGCCCTGTTCTCTTTCCCTTTCAGCGGCACTGGGCTTGGAAACCGTCATGGCGGCAGCAGGAGTGGCTGCAGCTCCTCCGGCTCCTGCAGAGGATCCCCCTGCACCCGCGCTATTGCCCCCTCCCCCTGTCGCAGCTGTGGAAGCTTGTGAGGATCCGGCACTTGTTTTCGGTTGGGTGGCCACCAAGGATAGCCCATTGTTGGTGGTGGCCTTTCCTCGGCCTCCGCTGTTGGAGCTGCTACTGTTGCTAGTGCTACTGCTCACGGTCTGCGCTCTGACCAGACTGCCGGGCATATACCGCCTGGAAGAGGAGCCGCCTCCGCCCCTTTGGTTAATTTGCAACCCCAACTGTGTGATTGGGGCGTGTCGGGATCTCTGTTTACTGCTGGTTGGGCGACTGGGGTTGGAGGTTGCATTAGTAGGCACAGGCAGCGAATTGACAGCCGAACCTGGTGGCGGAGGGGAGGTGTCGTTAGGTATGGGAGTTCCTGGCACAGCCGGAGGAGTTAAAGTCAACGCCGGGGGAGAGGGTGAAGAAGCCACAACAGCCAGTGGAGTTGTCTTGGCGCCATCTGGTGATGGTGTGGCTGGAGCAGGTGGAATCGGTGATGGTGGAGACTTTTCAGTTGCCACCACCTTGTTGCAGTTTTCATCGATTTGCGGGGTCTGGGGCTTAGTTTTTCCATTGGCCTCCTCGTTATCCGTGCTGTAGCAACTGGAGCACGAGTCCACGTTGGGTCCCAGGCTGGAAGCCTCCGAGGAAACGCCCTCCTCCTCTAGAGGACTCTTCACATTGTTAGAAATTGGGGGCAGCTTAATTAGAGCTTGGAGCTCGTCCATTATCTCCTTGGGCTGCTGTGATTCCTCGGAGGTCTCGGTCTCCGGCTCCTCGGCAGTGGGACCTTCGTTGGACTCGTTGATCTTGGCCAATTCGCTGGTGAGCCGGCTTTTCGGACGACCGACAACTGTCTGCTGAGATCGGAGAAGCTCCCAGTTGGTCCGGGCATTAGATATCACCTCCTCCCGCCGGATGCTCTGATAGGCCACCGAGCTTCCCGCGGCAGCCTGGGCTTGCTCCTTATGCTGGCGCCAGGCCAGGGCAGCCCGACGTACTTGCTCCGTGATGGGCATTTGGCTAAGAGACTGCAGCAATGGCAGATAGGAAACCAAGAAGGAAACACAATCACCAGCCAGGGACACGGGATTGTTTTCTATGGTGACCTCCAGGAGGCGACTGGCCCTGGCAATGCTGGCCATGTCATCGACCTTGTGCAGATCATTGTGGCACAGCCAGAGCCTCTCCAGAGCCACCAGATGCTGGAAGCCATTGATCCGCCGCAGCTTATTCCTCTTCAGGTTCAGTTCTCGCAGGCACCGGAGTCCCAGGAAGTCCTGCTGGTTGATCTGCCGTATCTGGTTCCCGGCCAGGTTCAGCGACTTGAGCTGCTGCAGGCAGTTGATCTTGCTTCCCAGGGTGGTGAGTTTATTTCCATGCAGATCCAGCACTCTCAGCGAGTCTTTCAGGGACGCCAGCCCTCCAATGTCCGTTATCCGATTCTTTCCCAGCAGCAGCACCGAAAGCACCGGCAGTCCATCCAGATTGGCAATGCGCTCGATTTGGTTATCGTACAGGTCCAGGAAGACCAGTTGCTGGAAGATATTCCCGTAGCTGGCACTTAGGCTAAGCTGCTTGTTCTTGATGCTCAACTGCTCCAGGGCGGCGAAGGAGCTCAGGACACTGTGCGGGTCCTCCTCCTCGCCGCAGGCTCCGCACAGGGAGATATTACTGCTGTGTAGGGCGCTGCTCTCATCGCAGCTCTGGAGGAGATTGCTTGCCCCACCACCCAAGGCCACTGCTCCCTTGGTGGCCTTTAGAAGGGCCCGACGTTGGATGAGCTGCTGTTGGTGCTTCATAGCTTGGAGACTGCTGCTCACAAAACTCTTGGACTTCTCCAAGCCATATCGCATCCTAAGAGCTGGCGGGGGTGTCAGCTGGGCCTGACCGTAGTTGTAGCCCCTCTTGGCCAGCTTGGAGCGTCCGGCAGCTCCGCCGCCATTGATGGCCAAGGCCTGTGTTGTCAGTGGGCTTCCTGAGCCGGGACTGCCTCCGGACTTGGGCGATAGCCGGTGGTTGTACGAGTTCCCACCGGCATTGGTCATGGCGCGGGTGAGTCTGCCGGGTGGATGGCCTCGAAGGCTGGAGCGACCACCCTCCGGCTTGTTTCCATTGGTGTTGTTGTTGTATTCTAAAATATATTTTCGAAATATTAATAATTTTGTATTTTTAGAGATTCTTGTGACATACCATTCTGCTTATTGTTGTTGCCTTCCCTTGGTGTGGAAATGGCAGGCGGCGGAGCCACCGGCGGAGGAGGCGGTGGCGGCGGCTGCTCCTTGGGTATGTGGAAGGTGTTGATCAGATTATGCTGCAGCGAGAGTAGTCGCAGATTGGGCTCCTGCTCGAAGATGGGAATGGCTGTGAGCCCTCGGCGATCGTAGTTGATGCGATCCGGCAGTTCCTCCCGCTCCTTGGCCAGTCTCTGAATCCTGCATATGCCATTGGCCTGGGGAGTCACTATGGCGCCGCTCACCAGGGTGCCACCTGTACTTCCGACGAGGGTGTTTGGCGTGGCTGCGGCGGTGACCGGACGACAGTTATTCGAGGCCGCCGATGAGGAGGTGGACTTGGAGCGTTGTCGCTGGATGCCAACACTGCGTTGCAGATTCCTTTGGGGCTGGACCTGTTGTTGTTGCTGCTGCTGTTGCTGCTGATGCTGGCGGATTTGTACATAGTTCCTCTTCAGGGGCTGCGGCTGGCCCACCTGGAGCTCCGACTGGGGCTGAATCTGTTGCACCGGTCGCTTGGGGATGGCGTTGTGGCTTAAGGTGCTATGGGAGCGACCAATAGGACGCCGGCGTAGTCTTTGATTAAAACTAGGAACGAACGGTTCGATTTTCAGCAAAGATGTTTGAGGTAAGTAGTTCTGTTGTTGTTGTTGTTGTGGTTGTGGCGAAGGATTTGGTGGAGCAGGTGCAGGAGCTGGAGCTAGAGCGGGGACTGGGACTGGACAGGAGGGCTCTGGAGCTGGTGCATCATCATTCAGAACCGAGCGACTGCGGCACTTGGCCATGGAGATCAGCTGGCGCCGCCTGGCATGAGTTGCCGCCGCCGTCGCCGTGTTCGTCCTTGTTGGCACCTGCCCTTGCACTTGCACCTGGACTGGCAATTGTCCTTGCCCCTGGACAGACACCTGACCCTGCCCCTGTCCCTGCCCGTGCCCCTTCGCCTGCGCCTGCACCAGAGCCTGACCCTGGCCCGTTGCCGTGCGTGTGGCACCTTCCACCTTCGAGTTTCATAATAGTTCGATGCGGGCTAGCGATTCTTGAAGAGCGTCGGACATGGTTAATTGGATATAGATGATCTCTTATCCCGTCTCTATATCCGTTGCATAATATGTACTCCGACAAGAGTCTACAAAGATATTTAACTAATTAACTATACACTTTTTAAATTGAATTCTATCAGAATGTTAGTTTCAAGAATTTGTTGTTTGTGTATATTTTTTTTTAACAAAACACCATCTAGAAATCGTAAATTTTATGATTTTATGAAGGAACTTACCCACTTATGTAGGTGTTAAAAATCTCGGGGAGTAAGAAAATCCAGTCTCGGTTATCTAATTTAAAGTTGCATTCAGCTCTGGGCGACGGATTATGGATTAGTTTGGTTCCTTTTGGGGACACACAAATAGATACAGTGGGCGTGCGGGTTCGGAAAATGGGAGCGACTGCTCCACTTGAGCCGCTGCTTCTCCCTTCAGTTCTCGTCGATTTTTGGTGATTTTTACTATTTTTTTTCCGTTTTTTGGTTTGTTTGGTATTCAGTCTTTTGGGGTAAAGGTATAGTGTATATAGTAAATGGTATCTGTGTGCTCCTCGAGTGTTGTTGGTCGCCTCTGTGGCAGCTCTGAGACCGGATTCTCGGATTCGAGGGCTCAGGCATGCCGTGGGCCTGTTTTATTAGTTTGTTTATTCGGGTTATACATTCACGATTTTGGCTTGGCGCGGTTGCCATAGACTGCGGTGCATTTGGGAGACAGTTGCTGTCCTTGTTCTACAACCTCTCTCTCTTGTTTGAAAATTTGAAAAAAAAATATTAGTCCATTTTTATTAGGAATACATAACTATAAAGTAGATCAAATATCATCTCATAATAAAATATAAAGATAACCATAATAGTAATAAAATATAATAAAATGTTTATATATATTGTATATGTTTGTATATGTTATTTATATATGTTTATATTTATTTTTTACTTTTTCTAAAACTTTATAAATTATCCAATAAATCTAATTAAAAAAATAATAATATTTGGAAATAATTAAAAAATTTCTTCAAGACTTTTTATTTAAAGTGTGGCGCTCAGGCTATTGCTTCGTGATTTCTGTTATTAGTTTGTTTATTTAAAGCTCTTTTGGGGCGATTGGAGGCCCAGGCAGCCAGGCCGACGACTGTCGTCCCAGCTGACGGTATGGCTGAGTGACTGACTTACGGGCGGATAGAGGGGCGGGCCTGGGCGGACAGGTAGACAGACAAGCAGCGGTCCGCTTCTGCTTTGGCTTGTTGCTGCCAGTGCTTTCGCTTCTAAACATACCAAAACATTGAATTTCTGGGCCCGTAGCGCTACAAAGCACCAAGTGAGGTCCATAGAAACTAGTAATAAGATAGTTAGGAATTTTATTTTAGATAGTATACTTTAATGGGAGTTTATAGCGAACAATCCTTTAACTTTTTTAAAAACCCTCTTAACCTTAATTGTTAACCTTTGGTAAATAAAAATCTAAATTTCAGAAAAAAGTGCCGGCCCTCTTCAAAGAGATTTTCTCGTGTTTTCCGTGGTTTTCCCTTAGTCTTCCTTTCGGTAGCCCATGGGTGAGCGCCCTCAGTTTTCACCTTGGCCGTGTGCAATTGAAGGGAAAAGTCGTTTGCATTAAAAACCCATTTCGTGGCTTTTCATGACTGTTGTTGGCATTGTTGTAGTTGTTGTGGCCGGATTTTTTGTTGCTGGTGGAAACAGTTTTGATTTTGGCATGCGAGAGCGACAGAGGAAGGAGAGGCACGCACATAATTGCCTGCCATCGTAATGGATTCACGTGCCTGCTGCCGCTGCCACTGCCGCTGCCGTTCTTGTTGCCGTTATGTTGTTGCAGAATATGCAAAAGGTAAGCGACAACCGCAGGCTAGAAAGAGAGCGGCGAGGAGAGGCCAAGACAGAGAAAGTACACCCACAAACACCTAAGCAATTAAAGAACGAGCGAGACACACAGAGGGATATTCGTCGCCTGGGCAAATTGCCTAATGCACTTGGAGAAATACTTCATTAAAAAAAGCAAATCAAATTTATTTTAAAAACTTAAGTATTTCATAGCCTAATGAAGTTGGTAGGAAAAATCAAACAAAGTGTACTAAGATACTCACTATTTTGAAGAGTGTTCTCTGACTGTGGGGGAGCCATCAAGTTGGACGCATCAATCGAAGACACTGCAACAATTTAAGTTTAATTGATGCCAGTCGGCGGCAAGAACAAAAATCGAATATGCCAGCCGGCAGCAGAAGGAGTGTGCGTGCGCTGGCATTTATGAGCTGGCGCTCCGCCCCCCTCCGACCGCTCCCGCCGGAAAAGAAAGCCAGCCGTCTGGGCCTCCGGACCATAACTGAGCCGTTGATTGGCAGCCACACCAGGTGCGAGAGATCCTGCTAAGACCACACCTTCCCACCTCCTCCACCGGCTGCCATCTTGTTTCAGTCCCGTTATTAGTAACGCGAGGGCGACCATTGAACTTTTCCAGCGCGGCAACAAGTGAGTGGAGGAAAATGGCAAGTAGAAGTTTTTAAGGTAAATAAAGCTATTATTTTTAGCCTAATAACTAAAACTTAATTATAACACAAATAATAACCTGTCTTAGGGAGAATTTTTAAATGATATTGCTTATACGACACGTGGCTCCATTAAAAATATCACTCATACGCCATGTATCACATATATTTAAAAAAAATGTATACCGACGGATATCAAAAGAATATATGGTTTCAGTTCTAAGGAAAGTGGCGAAAAATATGACAAACGCCAAAAAATGCTCATACGCCACGTAGTTACTAACAAAATATTATTCATACGACCTGTTGTACTTTGAAACGAAGTAACCGAAACTTTTCTTTCTTAACAGAAAAAGAGCAACGTTTTTCACGAATTTTCAGAATCACTTGTTTTGGAGATTGCTTGAAAATGAAATTCAGCCCTTCCTGACTTCCAATTTAAGCTTTTTTCAGGGGTTATCAAAGCTGTTGCATGCTGTGATTGTGTTGTTGCATGTGCAGCTGCGACCGTTGCTGCTGCACTTGGGCATTGTTTACATTGATGGTCCGACCTTCCCGCTGCGCTGACTGTTAACCGTTAACCCGAGCCCTGTTTACTGACACTGCTCTGCGGTGGCTTCCACTGCCGTTGACATCCTTGTTGGCCATTAATTTTGCAGACTATTGCGTGGGCCAAATGGAAAACGTCCACGCTACTGTCCCGCCACTGCTCTAGATAAAGAGTGCAGCCGGAATCGGGCGGATGACTCTAAAGCTCGACGTGCAACCTTTGGCCTTCCCTTTGCAACATTTGTACTTTCACTTTTATGACTGCACTCGAAGAAACTTTTGTATATATTTTTCTTGTAACAATTTGAAAAGAAGAGGAGGACTTTACCAGAACGACCTCCCCTTAGGAATGTTTAATTTTAAGTTCCTTTCAGTGTATTGTTGCTCTTGTGCTCATTATCGCGATTGTTTCTGATGTTGCTGGGCTGTGGCTGTTGTTGTTATTTACTTTTTAATAATTACAGAGCTCCACTGCAATTGTCCCTGACCACAAGCTGAATAGGTCAGACAGAGAAGGCTATAGAAGGAGGGACGGGGACAGCGACGGGACAGATAGCCGGACAAGTTGATAAATTGCAAGCGGAACGCAGGGACAAAGAGTGCCGGTTTGCAGACGCCCTCGCTGAAACGGACACCTCGCTTATTAGGTACAATACCAGCAACAATAATAGCTTTAATAGATAAAGCATGACACTTTTAAAGGTATTTGATACTATTTAAGTTTATTCAAATGGTTCAAGAACATTTTCAGGGCTGTTGGATCGTTCTTTTTAAGAGATTATAAGTAAAAAATTAATATTTTAATCAATATGTATAGTTATATAGGTTTTATAGAATATTTAATGGTAGGACTGTGGCAAAATGTTGACCTTTGCTGTGCAAGTCCAAGTATCTCATCCCAGCTCTTCGCACCCAGCACTGTTATTCCTTGAACCTCTCATTTGCGATGGACCAGGAATTTAATCAGCCTGGCGGAGCGCAGAAAAGCTGATAATACCGTGATGAATAATTTACATCCATACACATTCATTCGCTGACAAAGACCGATATGGTATATATAATTAAAAGGGCAACATCAGCCAATAATGGAAAAAACTACCAAGAAAATCACTTGTTGTTTCCACTCATAACCCTGAAACCTGACTTTTGAGTTCTGCGTGTGAAATCGTTTTAATTAGGTGTGGTAACTGGTTGCGGCTCGAATGGGCGAAATTAATTTGGATGCCAATGCCGAGAGATGGAATTCAGCCAAATTGTCCCGTTCAGTTCCAGAGATTCCTGCTGCTGACGGCTCATGTGTAAAATCACCGCACCGCAAATATCATCAATTCATCAAAGATGTTTGCGGTGGTGGCTAATATCGATATGTTCTCGAAGTGAGCGACCGCAGTAAATTAAACAATCAGGAGTATTACGAGAACGTCGGAATGGCTAGAAATTATACACTCTATTAGAAAATAGCAATAAATAGATAAATTCCATTCTTTTAATAAAACTATTACTTTTGTGATAGAAATAAATATGGTATTTATTAACAGTCTTTGATATATTACGGTACATATGAATTTTTGAATAGTGTTTTATGATTTTATTTCAAGGCACTTTACCAAACTAAATATTTTATTCGTTAAACTTGAACTTGAAGAGGTTGTTCTGGGCTGGAGTCTTAATGGACTAGATTACAGAGACACAACTAATCGGGTGATTCGAGATCACTAGATCGCTCTGTTTGTTTTCTGTGGCTTCTCCTCACGAATCTCAGCAATCTTGATCGTTTATGGTTAGCGTCTTTTCGTTGAGACACTTTTTCCAAGCCAAGTTCTGGGTCCAGTTCCAGTTCGCTGGAATTGAGAATTTGTGCAACGTGTGCCTCGTCGATTGTGCCTTTGAAGATGAGCGGATAGGGCCACTCGTGGCATACCGTGGGTCCGCTGTAGTCCCTCAGAGCCTCGATCATCGCATCGAGGCGGCGCATCTCCTCGCAGTCGTCGTTGAACTCCCGCACCTCGTCCAGCAAAGCGGCCACATCGGATTCTAGCACCTGTTTGGAGGAGAGCGTGGTTTAAAATTGGATTAGCTGGAAATCGCTTATTTTGCTCGATTTGCATCGGGGGTAGGGTGTCCAATGGCCCTGACAGCGTCAGTGACGGCGTTACGGCCATTGATAGCCTTACTTGCCCACTGGCTGAGCTTCTCTCCCTCCAATCATGTCATTCATCCGACGATGTCGGCTCGGATTTCAGATACAATATCTACCCATGGGCCTTGCCAATACTGTGTCTATAAGAGCCCAATTAGCAAAGCCTCGGAGCCCGACCATCTAAGCGCATGTTGGGGGCATGTTTCACGAGGGGTAACCGCACTTGCATCCTATACTTGTTTACATAAAAATATTACCAAATGAAAATTGATTCAAAATAATTTTAATACTCTTGCTAGATTTCAAAATATTTAAATTAAAAAAGTCCTATTTACGAATTCTTTGTTATTTATTTTGTAACTATTTTCCTCTCCTTGACTGTATGTTAACCTGTTCGCTTGCGGCCTAGCCGACATTGTCTAATTAGTGGTGCAAGTAATCACTGCAACCACCTCCTTCCCCGCCCTGAGCCCTATGCACATCCAAACATTTCGTTCCCAATAACGGGCTATAATTGCATTAACATGTTCCAAAAGCCTCAACTTTTAAGAGAGGTGCCGGGCGGCGTGCTGTTTTGGCCAACAGGTGATAACAACACACGGTCGAGTAGAATGGGTCTGTGAGAAAAAGTGGCAAATGGGGTTAATGTGAGTTGGGGATTGACAAATGGGCTTAGAAAAAGTTTATGCGAATGAACAGGTAAACTACTTTAATTAGCATCCCAGCTAGAGTAAAGTTCATAATAGAAAGTGAATAACTTTATTTGGAAAGTTAATTTATTTCTTCAAGTGTTCTGCTTACAAAAATGTTTGGTCAACAACTGATAACGATATTGTATGGCGATGCACTGATAACAAAAGTGGGACAAAGGCCAGATAAGAAGGTAAAAACAGAGAGAAACAGAGAGCGTCGGTGTGGAAACCGCTTTTGTTAACAACAAGTGTCGCTTTGTGGGGCACTTGTGGGGATCAAGGGGGAAAGTTGAGGTCTGGCGCTTCGCTCGTTCAATTACCAAAAACTCGATATGCAAATTAATAACACATTTTAGCACTTGACGGACCCGACCGCGCAAACTTTCAACCCTGCACAGCAGCTGCCGCCGCCGCTGCACCGCCGCACTAATTGGCGACGTCATCGCGGCATTTGTGACGTTGTGGGGTTAGTATTTTATTGCCCAACCGCCGCACCGGCGACACTTGTCCAATTTTCGGAGAGTTTTTTTATTGTACTTTTTACATAGCGCTAATTTGTGTGAGCTTTTTCCATTTATTTGCCCGCTTTCGGCTGGTTCGCGGTGGCTTTTGCTCGTTTGTTATATTTTTGTGGCATCCGCTGGTCGCTGGCGATTCCGTTCCCGAACAACGCTCGGCGTTGACTGAGCCCCTATACTCTCGAAAAAAAAATTGTTTACATGCGTCAATCAGTCAGATACTTAAGTGCATATGTGTGTACTTTCCACCTCCCACACAATGACATTTGGGGGAGAAAATAAAGAACGTAATGAGAGCATTGTCTACAGCGAAGAGCTCTTCATCCATCGAGAATGTCGGTTATCAAATAATAATAATGCTTAATAATAAGTCGCTTAAAAATAATGGATTGGATAATCATTACTAGATAGTTTTTATTCAAATAAAATATGTATAAATAATGACACTAAAAGAATTGAAAACAACACCACATTTTGGAAAAAAAACTCTCCCCAAATAATCATAAAAAAATAAAATGTATTTATTTAATAGAGGGTTAACATATATAGTACGTAGAATTTCACCAGTTTGAATTGCTTTTAATTTCCAGATATTCTAGCCTCCTACTAGCAAGCTATACATTTTCTGAGAAAAATATCTTTTGAAGGCTAAAAACCTGCAGCATCTCCCCCACTTAAAGACGCCGAGAAGTATGCAGCAGTTTTTGTATTCATATGCCAGCCACAATGATTTTAGAGCAGCTCGTAGTCTTGGCCTTAATCGGGCTTTTGTTTGGCCAAAACCCATCCCGCTGAAAAGCCAAGGCAAGCCCCAAGGCAAAACCAAACAAGCATCAGCTGCTGGCCATTAAAATTTTAATTTTGTGCACCATTTGCCACCATCTTGGCCCACTGGGCACCAATGGCAGCAGCAGAAGGAGCACCGATCCCATCGCTGTTGCCATCGCCATCGCCATCGCCATTGCCATAGCAATCCCGTCCAAAGCCCTTGGCTTGAGCGATTATGTTGATGGCCAGGCCGAGGCTGCTTACCTGCAGTCAGTGCCACTCCCATCACCATCACCATCGCCCACCCATCCTCCCTGTCGATAATACGCTCAATTCAATTTGCATATTCAGTTGTCCAATGAAGCGCACACCACACGGGAGCAGCACGGAGCGATCCAATCCCGGGGAACCGCTTCCATCTCCGCAACGTAGCACGTCCAGGCAAATGGTATTTTTTCAAGGCGTCCTATCCAGGTTGCCGGCCACTTGCAAGCAGCCGAATTGTGCCGCTGACAGGACCGCACACATGAGCTGCATGAACAGCTTCAGTTTATGCACTTGAAAAAATTATGTCTCATTTAAATTATCTAAAACTATAATAAAAGCAAAGAAAAGGCAACGCTGCGTATGAGTGATCCAGCAGAACTTGAGGAAGAAATTTAAAACCTTCAAAAGTGTTTACACTATTTCTAAAAAAATCTCCAGAGATTTTCATTAAAAAATTTAAGATAATATAGAACTTGCATATTGGATCATAACATTTCTGTATAAGTTTATAGGAAGTATTCTGGGAACTTCAACTAATTCCTGTCCGTGTACTTTCAGCTCCCAAGCTCGGATACCGCTCCGAGTCCTGCCGGCATGGAGTCCTCCTCACCTGCTGTTAGTCCATTACGTTAGCAATTTAACTTGCGCCACGTAAACATGATTATCATCTTAAGTGCAGTGGGTGCGTGTGTTTGCGGGCGGTGCAATGTGCGTGCCCGATGGGAAAGCGGAAAAGTGGGTGGGAAAACTTCGCCGCCAGGTGCGGGCTGTAAGCTCGTTGGCTCGCTGTTTAACAAGTTTCAATCTGCTTAAAACTGCAATTAATTTAAACGATTTCGTTCTTTTGGCCCATTATTGCCGAAAACAGTGCAAAAATAACAGCTTCTCGCATGCCAACCCACCGCCCAATCCCAATTCTGGGCCCAATCCGGATTTCAATCCGGTTAGAGTGCTGCTGCCCTAATTGAGCTTGTCAAAATCAGCCAGCCACCACGGCCAGCGCATGAAGGATCCGCCTTTGGAGCTGCCCAGGTGGTGTTCCAGTCCGGATTCGGACCATGTCACCTGCAGGTGTCCGGTGGTGTCCACTGCTGATGCTGATCCTGACGAAGCAGATTGCAGGCGATTGAGGCAAACGAGCAATCGCCTAGAGTCTCTACACATCCCTGGTGGTGTGGCGAGAAAATTGCAACAGCCGCTTGATTAATTTGGGGGCGGATACAGATAAAATTCGTGGGCGTGGCTGAAAGACAACACCATTTTAAGGTCTACGGTATGATGAGTGTGTCGAGGGTATTGAGTTGTGATGGGTATGCTGGGCAAGGAAGACAATTATGTATCATTCTTAAGGACATTTTTTTGTGAATTTTATTTGGGTTTATAGAGGTTTATAAGAAAAAGGTATATTATTGGATTATTTTTTGCTTCAAGGACTTTATAAGTTCTTTTGATATTTGACTAATTTTTTGTTACCCTTTCGTTTGATTCACTGTCTGACAGGATAAATGCGAGCCTGAAAAACAAGGACCAACGACAAAGAGTCCATCAGAGACAGACAGCCAAAAAACAAGGGAGCAAGGACCAACAACTACAACTGCATTTATGCATGCAAATATTAATATAGATATACACTCCCACACATTCGCAGGTCCTGCCAGAGACAGACAGACAGACAGACATAGAGAGAGAGAGAGCATCACAAAGTACCGTTGACAAACCCATTATCAGGAAAACAAACCGGAGATTAACTTGGCAAAATGTCTGCAGACGTCAAAAAAACGGTAGTGGCGACCGGGTGCAAGCGAGAGAGCGACAGAGGGACAGCCGCCAGATGCTGAATAAAATATGAGTTCACACAGATACTCGCAGGCACGCTCACCGATGCAAAATTAGAGAGAGACGGAGGAGCACGCATTGGACGAGCGGCCCTGCAGAAGTGACACATGAGCGTAATAACAGCTAAGACCTTGCTAAGCATCCGGCAGTCAACAACCACTTGCTGGATCCTCGTCCACGTCCTGTGCTACCCGCTACTCATCCTTCAGCACGTCCTCGATGCGAGTCCTGCTCTGGTCGAGCATCCCCCGGTCGGGCCGGGTTTTTGGGCCGTCGCTGCTGCACTCAGCATGATTACAAATTATAACGTCTGAGCAATCGCCGCCCGTTTTCTAGCTCTAAATTGGTGACTGCGAGAGTGTTGGTGCAAAAAGGGGCGGGCCCGGTTGCCGCCCATAGGAAATATAACTCCTCAACTTTTGCCAGCCCAACTGAGGGAATAAGAAGGATAAATAAGGAACGATTTTAATAAATATTAATAAATGTAACTTTATATTTTTTCTTTAACAAATTTTTAATAAATCGCCAAAAAGAGAATTTAGAAATGTCCAAATATTTATAAAAATGTATACCTTTTTTTCAGTGCATTTACATATTGCCAAAGGATATATTTTTTGCAGAGGGGTGAGGTGAGGCAGACTAGCAAACGGTTAACGAATTTACTGCACGCACCGCTCGCCAGATTCCGCCCTCTGCCTTCTGGTGGTTGGCCAGACAGGATGCCCCGTACGGCTTGCCACTGGTTGGTCCTGGGATCACAAATGCACGCCACCGTTTCCATCCCCTGCCGCTCCTGCAACCCCTGCAGGCGACGCTTCCGCTTCCCCGGGTCCCTGCTTAGATAATTCCGTTAGCCTGCAGTGTTTTCGTTGTTGTCCTAATAACTTAATTATGCATTTACCAGCAAATTGCTGAAAATGCTTTTTTTTTCCTGGGTGCAACGTTTAAAATGGCGTCTGCGCCTCCGGAAAGTACAATCTGGTGGGTGGCAGGTTGCAACCGTCTGGCTGCGGCTTTGGGCTTTAATCTCAAAAGCCTGCAACAGATTGGGGCTAAAGGCCAAGGTGAACATGTGTATCTGTCGTGTTTCTGCAGTTTCTGGGGTCTTAAAAACAAAGCTGCTCTTACTTAAAGTTATATAGTAAATTTCGCGCATCCTTTAAGGAGAGACAATAAACAAAAATAGAAGACTGTTTCAAAACTGTCCCTTTAAAACCATAAACTAAATCGAAACATTCAACATAAACCTTAAATAAAAAGGATTTACCTTCGGTTGTAAAATATCTTAAACACTTAAGCCCCTCCCACTGCCCCCACTGCACCCACTGCCCATTTGAATAATATTATAATAACAAGAACTATTCCGGACTGCAATTGAGCAACCTTTTTGCTATCAGGACATCATGTCCTGGCATCTACAACTCACTTTTACTACTCCACTAAGTTTATGACCACTTTCGCTTCAAATCGCGTGGGAGTGGGTTGTGGGTGGTGGGCCGTCGGCTGGGTGGGTGGCACGTGGCAGAGTTCGCGATTTTTCAAGGCGCAAGGTCAAGCCGGAGTAACCCATTGCTGTGGCCGTAGCCCACGCACATCCTGCCGCCAAATCGAGCCGAGCCCAGACCTAAATCCTTTTTGATTAAATTCAATGGTTTATATCCAATATCCCCCTAGCATTTTATATGTCTTTGAAACGCATTTTTCTCAGAACAATCCCATTTTTGTGCTGCTCACCGCCCAAAACCGACCCACACACACACACACACATGCACGGGAACATAAAACAAAATGGAGACAGTCGACCGGAGGAGAAAATAGATTGAAGTGTAATCATGGTTTTGAACTGCTCCTCGGTCATACATTTAATCCGAGCCAACGTAGCAGACACAAAATGGCCAAAAACGGCCAACGAAGTGAGAGAGAAAGTAAGCGTTTAGCTTTCCCCCTCTGCCATAGGTTTTCTTAGCTCGAAGCACTAAAAAATATCCTAGGTGCTGGAACTTCCGTCAAATAAATTATATATCCCACAAAAAAAACTATCCTATGTAAAAATCGTAAATAAGATTTCAAAGGATATCCTTTAATTAAGTATTCAATACAATTTTTCTCTCAGTGTGGATAGTCACATATATAAAACAAAAGACATTGTAATTGGAAGAGATTGGAACTGGGCCAACGAGGACGAAGAAAAGTTCGAGGGCTCGTGCGGTGATGCTTATTCCGCCTGACTGATTGGTGGCTCCTTTGTCTCCGCTCCTTGCCTAGGATTTGCCCCATGCCTGTCGCCCCGTGCAATGTCCTTCCCC